TAGTTTGGAAAGCGAAAATGAAGTTGAGAACAATGATGAATTGATGAATAGTTTGAAAAGCGAAAATGAAGTTGAGAACAATGATGAATTAGGAAATAGTTTGAAAAGCGAAAATGAATTTGAGAATAATGTTGAATTAGAGAATAGTTTATGGAGTGGAAATGAATTTGAGGACAATGATGAATGGGAAAATAGTTTATAGAGTGAAAATGGATTTGAGGACAATAATGAATGGGAGAATAGTTTAGAGTGTGAAATGAATTTGAAGACAATGACGAATCATGAAATAGTTTAAAGAGTGGAAACGAATTTGAGAACTATGATGAATTAGAAAATAGTTTAGAGAGTTGTGATGAGTATATGAGCAGGCTTGAGTATGAAGATTCTAATAATGAGTCAGAGAGTGATAGTAATAATTCAACTATAATAGATACAAGTAATACAGATATTGAAGGTAATATATTACATTATAATATCTACTAGTATGCAACTTTATTTATTTACAACAACTTATTTATTTACATATAATTAAATATTAGAAAATATATCCTTTATATCTCCTGAACTTGCTACTATGATTCGACTTCTGAAAATTAAAGTGCAAAATAATCTTACTAATGAAGCCTTTTTTGAAATCATGAAGACTGTAGTTACAAAACCAATCAGCTTATATTTAATTAAAAAAAACTATTATCATTAATTCCATTTAAACCCGTGTGGATAGATATGTATATCAATACCTGTTGTGCTTATATTGGCGATTATAGAAATTTTACAGAATGTCCATATTGTAAAAAGGAACGATATCAAGCTGAATTTCATAATAACAAAGATACTGAAGCACGTTGTAAATTTGCATATTTCCTAATTATTAATCGTCTTATAATGCAATACCAAGATGCAGAATAAACAAAAAATCTACTTTATTGTTCAGAATATGTATCAAGGCCAGAATATCAACATAATGAAAAAATTGGAGATGTGTTCGATGGCTAACGATATAAAAAACTAGTACGAAGAGGATATTTTAAAAAAAAGTATGACGCTGCATTATTAGCATCAATTGATGGGTTTCAAATTTTTAAACAGAAGACAGATGACTGCTGGATTCTGCTATTTATAAATGCAAATTTATCTCCTGAAATACGTGTAAAAAAAGAAAATTTTTTGATCTCCACAATTATACCGGTTCCAAAAAAACCGAAAGATCTAAATTCTTTTTTATTTCTCACCGTTGCTGAACTTCAAAGATTAGACGAAGGAGTAGTGTGTCCTAGTGTTCAACATGAAGATATATTCATATTATGTGGTTGTGTACTATCTTGTTCTGGTGACATACCTGCGTCTACAAAATTAATGTGCCTTACGGGACATAATTCATATAGAGGATGCCATTATTGCAATATTAAAGGCATTTATTCTTCGCATATATATTATCCTACCAAACCACCCAGTGATCAGAATAGTGAAACTTATGATCCTGAAAATCTACCAATTAGAACTCATTATGAATTCAAAAGACAAATAAAAAAAATTCAAAAAGTAGTTAAACAAAGAGAATTAATTATTA